ACAAAAGCATCTTTGCTGGAAAAATTACTTAAAAATCAATCAACCAAATCATCAAAATAGATGTTGACAATTTGTGTTAGTTGCTAATCTAAATTGTGTACTACCAGTAAATATCTCGGCCAATAAAAAAAAAAAAACCTTTTCTTGCAGATTGGATCTTTTTCCCCAAAAAGTTCAAAAAGGCCCCGAGCAGGTGAGCAGTGATTTTTTTTTTAAGCCACAGGCCACCTTCCTTTCACCTAAGCTGCTTCCCATTTCGTCGTCTTACAGAAGAAGACTGGATTGAGGGCGGCTCTGCCAATGAATTAAAATGTGTTTATCTAACCAAAAAGAAAAAAGGGTCAGCGCAGAGCGGTGCTAGGCAGGGTTACCATGGTAACAGCATATATGCCTTACACACCCGCCCCAGACACACACACACACACACTTACACACCCCACGCCACCCCTTGCATAAGTGTCATTAACTACAAGGCCCCCTATTGGCTGCTGAGCTTTGAGTCCACCAGACACAGCTCTTTGTTTAACCATCTCTCTTCACACATCTCTGTTTGTCAAACCATGACCGACTCCATTACAGGTACACAGCCAATAGGTGCTCGTCATGGAGCAATGAATTACATCTCAACAAAGACAGACATTTGGTTGTTAGAAATTAGACCACACCAAAGATTTAGCTTAACATTTTCACCCCCCAAAAGCCTAAAAAGGTAAACGTACTCTACCCCCCCCTCCCCAGCTGCATTAGTGTCAGGCCACAGTTTCATACCACCATAGTGGTTTCGCATGTTTTTAGCCCATTAATTACAACACCATATACATCACTATCATTTTGCAAATTGTGTTCCTGTGTTTTAGAAATTTTTCCCCAGTCCAGGAAACATATTGGTGCCCATTCATTTCTACATGAAAATCTATCTGCAGGCCCTGAAAACATGCACAGGTGCTGTAATCCAGCTGGTTTCCTTTGCGTGAAAGTGACATTAATCAATATATGGTAATGCAGTGGAGACCTTTCAATTCAACCTGTGCTTAACCACATTTACATTGACAAAAATGAATGCAAGTTTAAGAGTCATCAGACTGACTTTCAGCAATGAACAGGAACAAATGGCTGCGTGGAACAATACGAAAAAGACCAAAATTGTATAGTATCCAGAATAGTCACCAAAAATGTGTTTAGTCCTTTAAGAGCGACATCCAAGATTATTCCTACATACACACACATAATCAAACCTGTGCAGTAATTAAAAACAGTTGCCAATCACTTAATAATTAAGTACACAGGGATGCCCCTTTCCCACTTGAACGGTTCGTACTTCCTTCCTCTACATCTCTGTTTTTTTATTTTTTAAAATTTAAATCTGCTCATCATAGTCGGCCATCTAACATGATTCATTTGATTGATTCAGCTTTTATTGTAGAATTGATCAATATTATACATGCTATGGGGGGGGGGGGGGGGGGGGGGGGCGCAGCTTGAACAGACTGCAATTTTTCATTTTAATTAGATTCCACATAATTATGCAGGAAACCTTGTTCAAAGTCGAAGTACTCAAAACATTACAATCCGCAAGTTTTCTGGCATTAGGAGAAGACTTTGTGTCAGAGGGTTTTCAACCCTTTTTTAATTAACAACTAAGCTTTTATCAGTGCACATGTGTAAGAAACTTCACTAAAACTACTCCTCACCGAGCCGTCGTCGTCATCATCATCATCATCTTCCTCGGGCTCCGGGTCTTTCTTCTTGGAGGCGCTCCTTTCGGCCCCACCACTGCTCCTCTTCTTTTCTTTGCCGCTGCTGGCTCTCTTCTTCTTTTTGCGTCCAGGAGTGTAGTCGCTACCCTCGCTGTCAGAGCGCTGGGCAGTCACGCCGTCTTCCGCCTCCTCCACCCCGCCCACGTCCATGGGCTCTGGGGAGCTGATAGGAAGCTCCTGGAACAAGAACAGCAAAGACAGAAGTCAGCAAACTGAAACCATAATGTTTAAGACTAATGGCTACGGGACACGGAAACAGATTTCTTGCTGGAATTTGACTAAAGTCTTCTACAAGAGCATGAAAAGAGGAAGTCAACTTCAAATATAAAATGAAAGTATCAACTCCCCATATGTACCTAGCAGTGTTAGATTTCTTAATCACACAAGATAATAGTTGTAATTGACCCCGTGACCTTCATTCTCTACTATTTTAAACAGAACGCATTAGACAGGTTTGAGGTGTGTAAGTGCTGAAAAAACACACATCATATACACAATCTGGAGTCTGTCTTATAAACAAAATATCAAGTAAAAAGTTTTGTCCACTAAATTCTTCCATATGAAGGGAAGAAAATAACTGTAGCAGGTTTTTCACTTAGCAAAGAATCAAGTACTTTACAGTCATAACTACTTCCCGGCAAATTTGACTTTGTTGGCTGTTTTGACTACATGAAAAGATTATCTAAGTATGCAGACAGTCATGCATTTTATTGTGTGTGAAGCTCAACTAATAGTGTCTGGCTCTTTTGTTTCTAGTTTGCATTTAACAGATCTGGACATGGGATAAAAAGTTATTTTGATATTTTTCTTACTTTTAGGGTGCAACTACATAAAGTGACCACACTCACACACTACTTACCTCTCTGCGTGACCGCCTCTTGCTGCCCTTGCTCTCTCGACTCTTCTTGGCCTTCTTCTTCTTCTTCACCTTCGGAGTCTCGCTCTCCGAGATCTCCTCTTCCTCGTCATCTACAAAAATCAGGCCAGCAGAGACACGGTTAAGACATACAGAGGAGCGACTGTGTGTCAGTATTCAATGATGTTATCACACGGCCCACAGCTATGAAGATAGCCAGCGCATCAGCAGACAGCTGTGTATCAGGCTGTAAACAAAACACAAAGGACATGCTGGTAAATTTTGGCTGTGGTTTAGCTTGTTTACTGAATTCAGCCAAACCGGCAGGTAAACACCCGACTGTTATCGAGCAGCTTCACTTATTTTTTTTTTTAAAAACCTGTGATTCCACGTTTGCTTATTTAGACTTTTTGTGTGGTATTGTTGACAAAATGTACACAACTAATAGCATGCCATTATGGCTGGATTGTTTTCACAGACTGTCATCAATCTTCGGAGCATCATTGAATATGAAAAGGATGAATTGATAGGGGTTATTTGTATTTAAATTATCACCGTCAAGATGCAACATTTTCCCTTTACAGTGACCAACCAACTGTTGTTTTTTTTTTGGTTTTCAACACAAGTTGGGAACTCCCTCTTTCCACCCTCCTATCTCCTGCCAGGCTGCAACCACATTCACCTGGTGTCAAATTATATGAAAGTGGTCCATGATTAGATGGCTAGAATAAAAACCAACATGAGTCCTGATAACTAGGACCAGAAGAGTATAAGCTAGTGGTTTGGGTTACTAGCCCATTTTACAAGTTGCCCTTCGGGGGGGTGATTCAAATCAGTTTTGCTCCAGTGGTAAAGTTGTAATTTACTAACTGATTAGTCATTATGATTTACCACAGACTCCTGCAGCCTTACGACAGAGAGGGCCTCAGTCCAGAGTTTGGCACTGCCTCTGCAGCTCCAAAGTGAAGTGGTATGGCTCTCAGAGCCTATTAATGTAATAGACTGTGGTAAAAAGTAAATGGCAAACTGCCATTAAGATGCACCTGGCACGGAAGAAGCTTTAATCTGATGAGCATTTCAGGTCATATAAAGGAGACTAAGCTGTGTGTATGTGTGGGGATGAGCGCACTGTAAATTTAAAAAATTTATGTTAAAAATCCAGAGTTCACATTGAGATTGATAGTTTAACGTCACAAAAACGGGTATTTGCGACTTGACCTTGTGTGCCCTGCGAATTCACCTGCTTGAGAGCAGAGTTCCTGCGGACTTGACATGAAACCTGACAGCAAAGCAGCAGAGCTACAGACAGGCCTTCATTCTCAGCTGTGCAAAAAGTACCATTAACAAACCTACAAAAGAAAAATGCTCAACTCTGAAGAACTAGCAAGAGACAGCTTGATTTTGAAAGTATCTAACCCGAAAAGAATTCAACAAATATTCATGCTATGTGAGTACGCACAGGCAGGAAGGCAGGTATGTAAGCCAGCCATTCATTTCTAACCAATCATTGGCCGTGTGTATTACAGTCCTGCAACAGCCACAGATACCTGATCTCCCCCCCCCCCCCCTTTCTGTATCAGAGCATTTGATTAATGTATTACAGTCAGGATGTAAAGAGAATTTCAAACAGAACACTCTCCTGATATGAAATGCCTACCTCAGCTTTAATGATTAGTACTTATGATTATGCAAACCTGATTTAAGATGCAACAGATTTACCTTTGACAACGTGTAGCTAGACCTGAACCAATTCAATATGAACAAAAATTAAACCGCAACTATTTTAATAATCCATTAATTATTTACGTATCCTCAAGCACAAACAATCATTTTCTTGTTACAGCTTTTCCAATGTGAAGTTTTGCATCATTGCAAAAAACTATATACTTGGCTTTTATACCGTTTGCTGGACAAAACAACTGAAGATGGATAGACTTGGAATCTGGAAAACTGCTCATTATTTTCTGACAACTGACAATAGAATAATGATCCATATGTATTTCCAGTTGAAGTGTCTGGTATCACAAGATAACAGATAAACACAGACAATCCTTTAATCGCATCTACTTCCAATTAAAAAGTTCAAATGAAAGATAACGTGCATTTATATTTGAAAAAGATTGTCCACATCATTTGGTTTTTAGCACTTTAAGCGAACTTGTAGAGAGCTATTTGTTCTCAACGGGTCCACCATGGGCACCGCGCATGCTCATCGGATTTATGCCACCATAGCAGTGATATTGCATGTATTGGAAATTTGAATGTACTCCCCCCCCAGCCCAGGAAACATATTGGTGCCCATTCATTTTTATATGAAAATCTATCTGTAGGCCCTGAAAACATGCACAGGTGCTGTAATCAAACAGGATTTCTTTTTGACAAAGTGACATTATCACTATAGGGGTAAATGCAGTGAAGACCTTTCAATTCAACCTGTGCTTAACCACATTTACACTGACAAAACTGCACGTTCAAGAGTTTGCATACTGACTTTCAGCAATGAACAGGACATGGCTGCGTGGAGCTACAAGGAAAAAAAACAAAAAAAAACAACCCACAATAGACCACAAATATAGCATCAACAACGGTCACAATAAATGTGTTTGGTATGGTTGCATGTATTTTCTCAGCACTTGTGTGGTACTTTAAGAGCGACATCCAGAATCAAACCTGCATAGTAATTAACACAGCAGTTGCCAATCACTTCACATTAATTAAGTACATAGGGATGCCCCTTTTCCCACTTGAATAGTTTGTAACTTACTTCCTTCCTCTACACCTCTGATGTCCTAAATCTCCTTTTTGTTTGTTTGTTTGTTTTTTAAATCTGCTTGTCATTATCTACCTTATTGTAGAATTACCCATTTTTCACATACTATATTGTGTCTGATTTGGTTTTAAATGAACAATTGAGCTCTTATCAGTGCACATGTATAGGAAGAGTCCATAAAACACTGCCACCGATCAAGTACACGTGGATCCCCCCTTTTTAGCACTAAAACCGAACTTGCAGAACTATTTGTTCTCAAAGGGTCCACCGTGGACGCCGGGCGTGCTCGTCGGAATAATACAAACTGTAAACAGTGTGATCTTCTGCCACACTAAGAGCTACGTATTTAAGAAGATAACCTGCTTTTGGAAAATATGCTACTTTACTATACAATACTACTTTAATTTTACCCCCCCCCGACACTGAAAGCGAAGGCGCCGGCCATGAGGAGGGGAAAGCTGCGGAACGTCATCCGCCAGCTTCCAAGCTAACTGGCTGCCTCCATCTTGTCATCGACACGTAAAAGAAAAAAAAAAGAAAAATACCGGTAGCGGTGGCTAACATTAGGCCCCGGGAACATGCCGGTCAGTCAGTGTTACTTCACGACAATGCAGCTATCAGCCATTTGTGGTTGGGGGTAAAACAAGAGTGATGTTTTTTTTAAAAACAAAACTGTGTTAAACAGCAAAATGAGCGAGTTTGTTAATGTTGCCGCTAACATTAGCTTCCCGGTAGTTAGCAGCATTTGGTTAGCGAGCGCTATGCTAACGCAACATGATTGATATGAATGTCAAAAAACAACTGCTCATGCTAGCCTAAACAAGTAGTGTGAACATTAGCAATTTCAGCTAACAAACGAGACTTGTCTTACCGTGCAGTAACCGGTCATCGGGGGCTCCGTAATCATCTCTGTCATCCTCGCTTCCAGACATAGCGGACAGCAGAAAAACTTTCTATTTAGTTAGCTAACAGTTTAGCTAACTAAATCAAGTTCTTTGTTTGCGGTGGTAATCCAGATTTCTGACCCAGTCTTGAGTCGGTCCAAGTCGTGGTGTGTGTTGTGCAGTTAAGGAGAAGGGCAGCCGGCCAGGTTTTCGACAAGGGGAATAAGAACAAAAAAAAAGAAAGAAAACGGAAGTGAATATTTAGCAGCAAAGAGCATTCCAAACACAACACCCGGTAAAACACAGAGCAACATAAACACTCACCGCCGCATGGACTTTTTTTTATTTATCTTCTTGGATAATAAATCTAACTTTATCTGGGTATTAAGTTGGACGGCTCGCAAAGATTAGCACCTTCACTCACTCCATCTCTGCGTTGAGCTGACATGCCATCTTGCCACTATCGATAGTTTCCGTGCCATTAGCATGCGTGCTAGCCGAGCTTGACCGGTTCAGATTTGAGACGAAGTAAAAAGAAACCGCTCACCCACTGAGGTCTAAATCATAAA